AAAAAAAAAAAAAAAAAAAGTATACACTATCAATGCTTTAGTGGATAAACTACTTAAAACAAGTTTTATTAGGAAAAAAGGGGAGAGGCAAGTCCACAGGAAAATATACAAATTCCTCTCAAACTTTTAAGAGAATCAAATCACATCTTTAAAAACATACCCCCCAAAATCCACCAAAAGTAAGAAATTTTAAATTTATGAAATGCCATGCCCTTCTTTGACTTAAAATTATATTTTATAGCCTATTTTTGTTCTTTAAATTTTGTTCTTAGTAAGAAGGGACAATCATTTTTGTTAATTAGAACCAAAATAAGAACAATTTCTACTCAGGAAATTATGATATTCACTGATCATAATTGTGTAATATGGAAATACTTAATCCTTCCGGGATGACTTTCAGAGGTCTGTTGGAATTAGAAAGACCCTTATCATGGCAGTGAATTTCACTGAGAAAACACAGTTTTGAATACAATGTCAGATCATTTATGACTTAGCACAAACTTCGAATATCAGACCCCATCATATGACTCAAATGTTACCTGCACCCTTCAACAGCCTACCTTATCTAAAGATTTTACAGAATTTTGTAAGTATCCAAAAATTTTTGAAATTATTCCTTCATAAATTAGCAGACTTAGAAAAGCAGCAACAAAAGTTCCCATGACTTTCAAATAGACTGATTATCCTTCTGTTTCCTAAATTTATATGGCATTTAACATAAGAGAAACGATTCTCCAGCCCTCTAGCTGTCAGGGGCTCAGCTCCTACCTTCAATACTAAAGCTGTAATTTCCTCCCTTTCCAAAGTACAGTACTTTTCCTTCACTCTTGTCAAGGGTTTATTTAATTAGTGAAATTAAAAGAAATCTCTCCGTTTCAGAAACATCTAAAGAAAAATAATCTCCTTTCCAATCAGTGAAAGCAGCCTTGCCCCTGTTAGGAAAGGTGGAAACACACAGCTATGCAGCCATGCTGTGCTCTTAATTTGTGTCTGCTGGGTTGCAGAGCTTTATGTTCTTCAATCATCTTTATCATCAATAAAGACACTCTGAATTCTTATGTCACCTGACTCACGTGGCTAATATAAATTTGTTCCAGTACACAGCGTATTTTTCAGTATCACATCATATTTCACTATGAAAATACTGAATCTAACAGAAAATACTGCTTTACAGAGAGTCCTCAACACATCTGCTCAATTTAAGTAAATTTTATTTGTTCATGTAGTATGCTCCCTATAAAATGACTACATATATTATTTTCAAATCTGCATCCTGAAAGAGGTGATAAGTGGAAGGACACTCAGAAGCCACTCACTCAGTGTCTTATAGGCTCTCTCATGTGTATTGATGCTATTTAATTCAGCTAAATCCTCTAAATCTATATGTTCAGATAACTCCGAATGTTTCAGGTCTCAAAAGATTTTTTTAAAAAACTCATTGTGTATTCCACAATTAATCATATAATACACAAACACACACACACACACACACACACAAAATACTTTTTTATCTAGGTTACCTTGATTATACTAAGTAACAAACATTTCATTGTTCTACATATTTTCTTACAGTTCATGTCTGATACCGAATGTTCTGCACAAAGCTATAATAAAGTATCACTAAAACCTCTTTTATAAATATTTATCAATTTGAGGGAAAACATAAACATTGCAAAACTAGGTATCTGAATTTTCCAGATAAAGTAACATTTGTTAAGAAAAATAACATTATTATTTGAGTCTAATCAATGAAACAACTCTCGTACAATATAAAACTTGGTGTGTCTCTCAAATCCACTTACTTATCCTGGTATCTGAATGGTTAAGAAGATTTCACCTTTAAAAGAGGAATATCAACAAAATGACTTTTAAAAGTCTTTGAAACTTTCCATATTATCTCAAAAAAATTTTTATCTTCTAAAATTGACCAGCCATAATTCTGGTACAAATGGGGGCCAAAATTTTAACTGTTTTTAAACTTTGGTAAAAAGGTTTTTTTAATTGCATTTATAAATAAATAACACTCTCACTGTAATACACAGTCATTTTATTTTCATTCTGAACAAGAAATAACACATAAATTGTAAAATTATCATGGAGTATACTTACCCACCCACAAAGCAGAGGATATAAAATGCCAAATAAAATATTACAAAGGGTCCAAAGGTTATTAGAAAAAGGACAACGCCAAGGCTTCCCCATCCCCATATGGATAGACTGGCCTGAAATAAAGCAAATAAATAAATAAATAAACAAACAAATGATTTTCCATATTAGAAAAAAACCAACAAAACTTTACATAGTTTTTTACATTAAAAAAAAAAAAACTTGTGTGGTACTATATCAGTGTCAAAATATTTCCTTTCAGAAATGTAATATACTCTTGGAAATTCATCTCCAAGAAACAAAACATAAAAGAGATTTTCAGAACATCAGCAACAATAAAGGTACAAGAAAGTTGTACAAAATTGTCAAATGAGAAGTTGGTATAAGTATAAATATTTGCATATTTATATTTATAAAAGTACATGTAAAAGGATAAATATCCAACAACATTTTACTTATTTAGAATTAATGTTTCATTTTAAAACTACCTCTCAAGAACTACAGCATAAGGAAACTTTAAAAAATTAACATTTCTAGGTAAGAAATCCATGTCTCACTTAAAATTGTGATTTATTTTACTCAAATTATTTGCAAAAGCTCATAAAACTGTAATTGCAAAAGTTCCAACTTTTAGTTACCAAACTTCACCATAAAAAAACCTTTAAAAAAAAAACCTATTTCACACAAAATTATAGTGTCATATCCAGTAAAATACTCCTTTTGTTGAGAGCAAACTGGATTTAGCAATTTAAGTCATTATGAATAAATGTATTGAATTCCACAAGTTTCTACATCTATTTGCTTTGTGCTGTGAGGTGTATACAAAGAAGACATTTGTCCCACTCCTGTCATTAAGGAGCATAGAGAATGTCTTACAAAAATGAAACAATTAGACACTGAACTAAAAGAAAATAATAGCATCATAAAAGGCTGAACTAAACAAAACTAATGATAAAAAACTACAGAACTGACAATAAGTGCTGTGGATTATGAAAGAAGTTTCATTCATTCATTCATTCACAGTCATTAACTGCTTCATGTGCTAAGCACAACTGAAGGTATAACTGAAGGTATTGAGGATACAAGGAACAAAATACACTCCTGTAAGTCCACACTGTAGCAAGAAGAGAAACACAAGCATACTTTGATAAGTTCCTATGCCTTCATAAGCTTACATTCTAGAAGGTAGAAAAACATGACTAAGAAATGAGTACTAGTATCATCTGTAAATAAGTGCTATGGAGACAAATTAAACAACTTAAAGAGGAATGACCTTAGCAGCTCTGAATTAGATGATAAATGAACAGAAATCATGGGTGTTGTTTAAGAAGACTTTATAACACTGACTTTCTTCAAAACATAATTGTTTTTCCACTTATTTCTATCTTCATTTATGTCCTTCAGCAAAATTTTTTTTAATCCACCCCCATTGGCACAACTCTTGTTTATATTTTATTATCCTTTTTCTTCATCCCCTAAGATTCCTGTATTTTAACCAGAGAGCAGAATGCCCTGTTAATGAAGGTTTTGCCTTCATTCTTTCCTCCTAATATGTAGAATTAACTGGAAATACTACTTCACTTACAGAAGTGGTTTCCTCTGACTTGCTTCTAAGTGCCAAAAGACATTGTGGTTTAAAATAAAGTAGAGAGCAGCCCCATCCCTCTAATAACACTTCTGCACATTCAGTACCTATATCCACACTATAGCACTGCCAGATACCCAACAATGAGGAAAGACACTATTTCTCAAGTCTCATGCAAAACCATATCCATTGACTTCCACAAAAAAGGGTTCTAGTAAACTCCACAAAGCTGAAACCATACGAGACTCAGATCTGACCTATATCAGCAGCATTAGCCTTTTTTACCAGCAAATTTATATCTGCTAGTCAATTTTTCAAAACTGAACAACTCAGTGCTTAAGAATATATTTAAAGACTTTAAAAGTAAAACCAAGGAAAGTGGCTATTTCTAGGAATAAAAGAATATACAACTGAAGGACAATATACCTCAAACACTCAGCTGTGTTCTGCTTCTTTAACAGGTGCCTGGTTTTAACTGTATAAATATTTTAGTTACTTATTTCTGAAATACAGCTTTCACAATTAAAGAAATTTTCAAGAAAAGAATCAATTAGTCGATATGAGGAAGAGTAATCAAAGCATCAATTAACAAGGGGCGATCCTAAATTTACCTAAAACTTCGTTATTTAAGATTCCCACAGGTCATGTTTGAAAAGGGTAGCAAAATTATCCTTTTAAATCCATTCATTCAACAAAATTTGTGAATATCATATGGCAGGTGTTAGGAATTTAACAGTAAATGAATTAGACATTAGTCACATTTAAAAAATACATCTATTCAACAACCATTTTCTTCCTTAAGCCTGAGAGCATCATGCTGTCTTCCCTTGCCCTACCTCCTTTTTTCCCCCATTTCCATGCTGGAGATTGAACCCAGGGCCTCAAGCACTCTTGGCAAGTGATCTAGTACTGAACTACTATACTGTACCCCCCCCCAACCTCAGGATAAAATTCTAAATTCCAGAGACTAGTAATTAAACATTTCTAATCAAGTGAGTCAAGTACTCATTTGCTTTGTTCTTAATCTCCTGTCAATTTCAAATGTTAAACTAGTCAATGAAACATCAGAAGCGTGCACAGTCCAAAAAAGGGACTTTGTTATTCTTAGTGTTCCCATATCCATAACTGGCTAATATCATAATCTCTGTAGTTAATAAATAAATAAAGTTTGTTATAACTCCACTTGAAATTTTTGAGTTCTAATTTCCTAAAATGATAAAGGATAGAACGTGAGGTGCTTTTGTATTATGTCAAAAACCTTCCACAAACGCAGTCATTATCTAAAAAGTGTTGACCTAAAAGGACACCCAAAAATAGAAATAAATCGGCACATCTGGTTTTGCATTAAAATAATCCCTATTATCACTTTTTTTCTGTTAAATATAATTATCAATACTGAAATTTCCTTGCAGGCTAATCTAAGAATCATTCACCACCATGAATTGGAAGAAACTTTCCATATTATCTACTGTACTATTTCTCAAAGTTTAAGAATCTTAAATGCTGGGCTGGGGATTTAGCTCAGTGGTTCTGGCAACTGCCTCGCAAGTGCAAGGATATGAGTTTGATCCCCAGTACCAAAAAAAAAAAAGAATCTTAAACGCAGATTCTAGCCCAGAATGTCTGGGATAGGGCCTACAATTCTTTTTATTTACGAAAAGCTGTCAAAACTGTTTAGAATTAAGGATAATTACATATTCCTAGTTCTTCCCTAAAATGCGGCCCATAAAACCTTATTCACAATTCCAAAATCTAAAAACTTCTAAAAAACAAAATTGTATAAAATATTCTACATATTGTATCTCATTTACTCTTCAGAACTTAAAGTAGTACTATATAAAGCTTAAAAATTATGGGCTGTGGACTTAAGACTACCTGAGTGTAAATTTCACCTTTACGACCCATCAGTAAACTCTACATGCCTGCATTTCCTCACCTGTGTCATATGGTTACATGTGAGTAAATCGGTCTATGGTCCATTAATTGATTTTAACTTAATCACTATTATTTTGCCTAATTTAATTTTTTAACATTAAAGAAACTACAGTACAGAGACATTTATAATATAACCAAAACTCACACACCTAACATGAGTGAGATCTTACTGTGAGCAAATATTAACTCCTGAACCTTCAAATTTGTCAGCTGACAACTATCTGATGTTAAATTACAGTAAAAAAAAAAAATCCTAAAATCAAAAACAAGTGCTCTCTTTTATTTACATATTAATCTTAATATGCCTCCCAAGGAACTAGTCAGAATACTATCTGTAATAGATGTAATAAATCCTTGGCCTGAACATGAAACATATACATTTTATAAGAAAATTTACCCACATGTACCCTTAATGAAAAAAGAAAAGAATTTAAGTTTCAAAGGACATCTATTTATTACTGTGCCGAGCTACCTACATATACTGGAGTCTGGCTTTGAGCTTAGGGACATAAAGACATTAAAAAATGATTTCTCCTTCTAAGGGCTTCAGAATTAACAATGTATAGAATCATATACACCCTCCTGACAATAGAAAGCAAATTGAAATAATTTACTTTGTCATATTTTATGCCTATCAAGGTATACTGACATTTAACTCATTTGATCCTCACTACAAATATTTATTATGGGAAAGGCAAAATAATACAGTGCTAAGAATCAGAAATTACAGATTCTAGTTTGCCAGTAATTTTCTATAAAACATCTGCAAAGTTACTAAAACTCTTTTGGATCTAGAATTCTCAGAAAAGATCATCTCTCAAGTGAAGTCTAATCAGAGATTAGTTAAGTAACTCTGCTCATAATGGCACAACTAATTCCATTCCAGAGCCAGGCCTACATTATTCTGGCTCATGTGGAAATTGGGGCCAACTGAAAACAGCTGTCTGAAGGTCAGCTGGAGAAGAGGTTGTCACAACTCCCACAGAAAAGACCTTTAACTCCAATATGAGTTTCACTAGAATGAGACAATGACTTTACTAGACTGTACTTTTTTTTACTAGAGTGGGACAATAACTTTACTAGTAAAGTGGAACAATGAAAAGCGAATCAACCTGGAATATTTAAATACATTATATGAGAAGACAGCCAAATGGAGAGGGCTAAGAATCTTTAAGGTGGTATCACCTGAACAGCAACTAGTGAAACTATATACAATATGGTCCAAATTAAATACATACACAATGTATACATATTATAGAGAGCAAAATTATGTACAGCTCACAGAAAGTATACATAGTTCAACAACTAAAACAATTAGCCATCGGGCCGGGGATTTAGCTCAGTGGTTCTGGCGCCTGCCTCACAAGCTCAAGGACCGAAGTTCGATCCCCGGTACCAAAAACCAAAAACAAACAAACAAAACACAATTAAGCCATAAGAGTGGCCTTGTAGAGTGGGGAAAGTGAGAGTGGTAGGGGAAAGGAAAAAAGGCAAAAGAATAAAACCAAGATACATCATATAACGGTACAAGATTCTAGTGATGAATGTAACTGAAGTGTATACCTAAAATATACCAACAAACTTAATGCAAAAAAA